GTGTCTGTCCCACAGTGCCCAGTGTCCTGGTGTCTGTCCCTCAGGGCCCGGTGTCTGTCCCTCAGGGCCCGGTGTCTGTCCCTCAGGGCCCAGTGTCCGTCCCTCAGGGCCCGGTGTCTGTCCCTCAGGGCCCGGTGTCTGTCCCTCAGGGCCCGGTGTCTGTCCCACAGTGCCCGGGCAGGGCTGTGGTCACTCACCTTCTGTGCCCGGCGCTTGTCTGCGCGCTGGTTCTGGTGGTAGATGCGGCTGAAGTTGGACACGATGACGGGCACGGGCAGCGCGATGACCAGCACCCCGCTCAGCGAGCAGATGGAGCCGAAGATCTTGCCAGCGATGGTCTTGGGCACCATGTCACCATAACTGCAGGGCACAAACAGAGAGGGGGAGCTCGGCAGGGCCCTGGGCAGCAGCGGGGGACAGCTCGCGGTGCTGGGCCCCCGCTCCAGCTGGGCTCGCCAAAGAAAGGCACTTCTGTGGCACAAAACAGAGGTGCTGCTGCAGGCAGCTGCTGGGTGTTGAAATTCACATCCTCGCTCCTTCTGCACCCACCTCTCCGTGCAGATGAGCTCAGCAGACTTCAAACCCTGCGTCTGCTGGGGAGCAGGTTCATGTATTTTCATTCCCTGGTATCCAGGTGCAAATGAGGACGGATTTACACTTCCATTTCAAACCCCAGCAGCTTCCCTGCCATCTGCACAGTCAGAAATTTGGGGGTTGTTCAAAGTCTGCATTTGGTAAAAGGTGAATTCTCAGGGACGTGAGACCAGCTGTAAAATATTCATACAAAGCTCTGCATTGGGTTGGACCCAACAATCTTGTGCTGTAATTTGTGTTGCATAAAGAGCGTGTGGAGCTTCTGGAGCGAGTGCAGAGGAGGCCATGGAGATGCTCTGAGGGCTGGAGCCCCTCTGCCGTGGAGAAAAGATGAAAACTGCAATCTAGAGAAGCCCCTGGTTGCTATCAGATGGTATTTGGGATTCCTGTGGTTATCTTTGAGATGTTCTGGTGCTCACTGCAACAAATGTTTTAAAGAGAAATGATTTATCACAATTGAAACTTTATTTTTACATTTGATGTCAGTCCATGACCAGCAAAGAGCTTTGAGGGGAATAGAGTTCAGCTAAGAATAATTTACATCCAAGAGGAAAAACAAACATTTCAAACCACCTTTTTATCAGCTGAACTTCTTGTCCCCGTGCAAGAACTTGTTGGCATGAGGGGCTGAGTAAGAGCAGGACTCACTCCTTGCACGTTAACTGCTTCAGGCACCATTAGCCAAGGCTTATTTATCCCGACCAGAATCCTTCTCCTGTCCTCACCCGCATCAAAACCCCTCAGAACACCTCAAATCAATAGATTGCTCTTCATGTCTGTTAACTTTTTGGCTGCTGCTTTATGCAAAGATCATTTCAAAGCTCTTGCTAAGTGACAAGTTCTTCTACCTCATTTAACACTGGTCTAAAAAAAAAAAATCTCACTTTTCTCCTGCTGGCCCTTAACACAATAAGGCTGAAAATTAATCATATGCCTCAAACATGATCTCAGTGACCTGGAGCAGGGAGAAAAAGCCCTTCTGTGCATTTGCAGAGAGTATAATAAGAAGTGTCTGGCACACAGTCTGTCTCAGGGAGTTTTGTTCTTACATGCAGACTGAGAGTTAGCTCCTTAGTTGGGACTTCAGAGAAGGTGCTTTAAAACACCTCCAGGAGAGATGAAACCCTGGGAGCAGCAAGGATTTTGTGGGGAGATGGAGAAGTTAATTTGCAAAGCTCCTGAGAAGAAGAGCTCAGTGGTGGCTGAGGGACAGGACCTGGCACTGGGGACACCGTGTCCACTGCAGCTCTCCATGGAGGATTCTCCTGGATCCTCCCTCTGGGGATCTGCTGCCTGGGACAGCAGGCACTTGGGAACGTCTCTGGGCTGACCTGTGACATGGAAATGTCAGCCCTGAGTTTGGAATATCTCAGCTTTGTTCATCAGAGGCAAACCCAGCTGGAGCTCCGTGTCCATCCCCTGGCACTGATGGGGAAGCCTCTCTCTGACTTTGACAGGAACGAGCCTCTGGAGCTGCAATTGTTCTGCTCCTCTCTTGACATCCACAGCTCCTGCAATATTAATTGCCAGAGAGACTATTTCTGTCCTGATGCTACCACAAGGTACTAATGGCCCTGTGGCATATTTATATCAGGTACAGTGCCAAATAAACTCAGCTATTGGATTTCAGTTAGTACTAATTAGGCATTTCAAACCCAAAACTTCTTTTCCCCAGACTGGAATGAGAGAACTCAACTTTCCCATTAATTTGTTTAATAAAAGGCAACTTGTCATCTAAAAAACTTCTCTAGAAAGTGCATTTTAAGCAATTCATCAATAATCTCATTAGAGCAGCGAGAGGATGGAGGAATTGGGTAATAATTAACATTCAGAGGGTCTAAGGGGGTGTTTGAGCTGCACGAACACAACAGGAGGCTGCGAGTTCGTGGGATTTAATGTGACCTCCAGTAAATCTTTGTAGCTTTCTGTAGCTCGGCTCCCCACTGAGGAAGGGGTAATTAGCTCCTCGCTCTTTGTGTGGTTAAGGGGTGCAGGGTCCATCAGAGCAGGAGCAGCCCCAGCAGTAACCCCTCGTGCTGGGCACACAAACCCAAAATCAGCCCCCCCTGACCTGGGTAAAACAGAGAAATAAACTCAAAATCAGCCCTCACTGACCTGGGTAAAACAGAGAAATAAACTCAAAATCAACCCTGGTGCCTCCTCACAGCCCTGCCCAGCCCTGGCTCTGAGTGCCCTGGACTGCTCAGACCTAATTCCCATAACTGGATTGGAGTATTAGTGCCCACATCAGAATTTAAATTAAATTAAATATTGACCAAGAAGAACTTGCTGTCAGGTTCAGGGTGAAAAGCTCCAATTACCAAGGAAACAGGAGCTTTTGAAAACTGTATCACACCCTCACCCTTACTGGGAAAAACCCCAGACGTGGGCAGGGTGGGCTTTTGTCAGCACAGAAAGAAAGAGCCAAAGAGACTTTTGTAGCTCATGTATGACAATAAATCCCCACTGTTATGATAAACGAGGGAGCTTTTTCTGCAGGGATAATGGTGAGCTGAGGAGCTGAACAGTCCCCTGTGAACATTTCTGCATTTTTCAGTTTTGCTGGCAGTGGATTCCCCAGAGCCCCCCGGAGGTGCTCACAGTGCCCTGAGCTCAGGTCAAGGAAAGACCTGCCCAGCCAAGAATGCTGTTAAATTCAGCCAAACAAAACAGTCTTAGAGAGCTTCTTCTGATACATCTATCACTGCTGAAACTGAGATCTGAGGATCAGAATCTAAGATGACATAAAGCAAAAAAACCCTGAGATTACTTTTTGCCAGATCTATCAGCTTGGCAAGAACTAAAGGGAATAGAGCTTCCTCTGAAAAGCTGAATTTATAAACATCATGAATAACCTCCACACTTAACTGCCTTTTAAGACTGGAGGTATTTTCTCCGAAGTGAAATTCAGCTTTTCTTGTATTGGTTCTACATTGAAGTAAATTCCACTTTTTCTCTGAATAACTTAGATGAACAGTTTAGAATTCCCTTTTTTCCTGTTAGAAATTATCCAGTGTTTTAACAAGTTTGATGGAAAAACTCGAGCTATCATAAAAAGAGGCAACATCTGTTTTCCTCCAGGGAGATGGGTATGAGGCAGTAAGCTGCAGTTTGGGGGTGTTGGTGGGAACAGCCAGCCCAGGAGGGCAGGCAGGACATTCTGAGCCTCTCTGGAAGTGTTGGCAGGGCTGAAATGCAGCAATTCCCCAGCCAGGCTGTGCCAGAGCAGAGAGCACCTGGAACCTTCCAGAAGCACCTCTGAGCCAGCACATCGCCATCCTCCCGGCAGCAGGAGCTGGGACGAGAGCCCTGAGCAGCACTGGGAGCACTGGGGAGCACTGGGAGCACTGAAGGCACTGGAGGCACTGGGAGCACTGGGAGCACTGGGAGCCCTGGGAGCCCTGGGAGCACTGGGGAGCACTGGGAGCCC